CATGTTGACTGTCTCATCTTTGTGTTTCTAACTTCATCTTCATTCAAGACTTTCTTCAGTTTGTCACCTTTCTGTCTTACCAGCTTAGGTTTGCGTGTGTGTAGTAATGTGTTAGTAACTGAGTTGTTCCTTCAGCTTAAATTAGGACCAGGCCATATAGAGTAATAGTTCTATAAATCAGAGTAGGTTCTTCAGTCTTATGTTTATGCTTTTGTTAAAAAGCCTTCAACACAGTGTTCCTGATTGTTCCCAAATGTTTCCTTGTGTCTTTGAGAGAAGAGGAAATGCTTATCACAGTCTAAGCTGGGAGGGATTCTGATCTGTTTAAACTGATAGTCTGGCAAATTTAATCTTTTTAGGTCCACCATAATTATCTTATCTGCTCAAACAATAATTAAGCCATTGCATTAGGGCTTTGTGATCCAGTTTACAGCCATTTACATTTTTATAGATCCAAGAGCATTTAATGCTTGTTAGTCTTTTCAGGTCAGATATAATATTTTTAAATTGTTTGTAAATGACTTCTATTGTGTGAAACTTTCGATGACTCACAAATGCGTGCTTCAGTTCACACACATACAAAGTAATTTGGCCTCAAGTAAAATTAGTTTAATTTACAGACACATTTTTTTTAAGTTCAGCTTCACAAATCTGATCATTTTCTCTTTTAAAAAACTTTCTGTCCGTTCAAATGTCTAAAACTACACAAAAAAAACCTTTCACTTACCTGCAAAGCCTTTAGTGCACTTTGCACTGTGTTCAAGTCCCACTGGAAAACTAGGACATCTCTACTTCCTGTGTGATTTCTTAGTTTACACTTGTAGATCATACCATACACATTTGTAACACTTTTAAGACATATTACTCTCCATACTTTTAAAGTCTGAAACTGCAGATTTGAACACTGCTGATAGGTCACTCAGACTTTTCCTTGGTTCTCACCTTGAAGTCGCCTTATCAGCAGAAAGATTCGCACCTTCCGTCTGATCTAACCCTCCACACTTTTCTCCTGTCATGTCCGCAGAGGCAAGTGGCGTACAGTGAATGGCGTAGATCTGGCTCAGAGGATAAGGGAGATGAGTGAAAACAGCTAGCAGTGACAGAAGTGAAAGCTGTAGAGTTGGTGTTTTGTGTGTAGTCTGTGCTGGAGGGTTGTCTCAAAGTTTGGAGATCATGTTTGGTTAGATTAAAGTGAACCAAAGTAGGGACTTTCATTACTGGTGTCACTGGTTTAGAAGATTTTATTATTTTTTATATTTTGTTGTTAACTGTTTTTTTTATTTTTCATCACCCTTTTTTTGTTTGTTTTGTTTTTTCCCTGCTCCACAACAACAAACTAAAAATGATTTCAGCCACCATTTTTCAGCCAAGTCCAACTTGGCTGTAAACCTCGTATCACATGACCATTAACCATTCATGATTAAGGTTGATGCATTTGTTTCCTGCTGGAGAAGGTTTGTGTGAAGGTCACACATGCTGACTCGTATGATCTAATCAGAAAACTAAAGTCTGAAAGTCTGTGTCCTCTTGTCCAAACTAAAACACAGTCCTAGCAGTTGTAAAGGTCTCTCAATTAAATATCCTGAAATGTCATCTGAGAGCTGCATGTTAACAGTGCAATGTTTATGCTTTTTTTTTTAAAAGCCATTGTTGTGGACCAGGCATTTTCTTATTAGTTTACTTATTAGTGTTCATCTTTAAGTCATCATAATCACACTTTTTTCCTTCATTGTTATGTTTTTTTTGTCATTACTTGGAACCTTTCACTGATATTTTGTTCTTAATAAAGTCTTTGCATTTCAAACTTCCACCTGCCATCGTCTTTGTTTCATCCTGTCCTGCATCTGAATCCCACAACATGTTCCAATCTCGTTACAGGGAAACTATTGTGCAGATACTGATTCACTGTTTTTGCTGTGGTAGCTCATGCTTCCTTTACTTTTATATACAGTTTTTGACAGACAGTGACGTATTTTTCAATGTTGTTGTTTGGACAGATATTTTTCTAGTCTTTCTTTTTTTTTTTTAGAAAATTGAGAATGGACGTTTTGCCAGCTACAGGTACTTTGCTCATGCTAAAGTCAATGAATCTGACTTTCTCATGATCACCAAGAGGTGAGTGGTTTTTTTGGGGGGTTGTCTTTACCCTTTTTTGTTTGTTTTCTTCTGTTCAAGAAAGTGTTTTACTTGAGATAATGACCAAGAGCTGAGATATGGTTCAAATGATGCATAATTTTTTCTTTTCTAATCAGTTTGGATGCTAAAATTTTTGTAAAAGTTTATATAGTATTTGCGTATTTCTACCAAGACTTTCAGATCAACTGTGAAGAAAATTCTTTCCTTTGTTTTCATTCATTTGTTTTAATGTTCTGCTGTACTTCTTGTACTTGACTCTCTATTAACAGCGTTACATTCAAATTCAATTCTAACTAATGTAAAGATTTGAGTTCATACTTCTGACATACAGTACCTTCATTGCCCACCAGGGGGCTGCAGCCCACACTGTAACACAGACTGTATAAAACTTGGATGTAGCTGGCATGGTGTCAGCTGTTGCTTTGTGGAGCTCCGTTTTGAATCCTGGAGATCAGCATTTCCACTGCTGCTGTCTTGGTTTAAAAAAACAAAACAATACAATACCCCCCCCCCCCCCCCCCCAAAAAAAAAAAAAAAAATCCCGCCCAAAATACGGATGTAACGAGATAGTAAGCTGTATATTGAAGTTTTATTCCAAAATCCTTTTTTTTTTAAAATTCAGTTAAACCAAAATGAATGATTGACCCACAAACTGAGCTGGAAAATGTTTACAGTCGAGACAGGAAGCTGTTTTCACAAAGATAGGACCAAAAGTCTTTTTACAACCACACAGGTATCGCCATCTGGTGGCATTCAGATTAAGGTTTAAGGCACTCCCATGTTGGCTTCATCTTATGTCTTTTTACTTTTTTAATGCCTATGACTGGAAATCATTGTTTTGGGGATAAAGAAACTGAAATATAAAGTTTACATTTTTCTTTATTCATTCCTTTTAAACACACATCTTTTTTTTCCCAGGGGAATATTTTTTGTGACCAAAGGCACTTTTGGTCAGCTGACCTGTGAGTGGCAGTATCTGTTTGAAGAGTTCACCAAGGATCCAACCATTATAGAGGACCGCCGACTTCGCATTGAGGCCAAGGTAAAAACAAACAAACAACAAAGATGTTACCATTATTTACTACCCAAATTTTTCATTATCATTATCATTATTATTATTACTTCTGCACTGAACCTCGCCTTCCACTGCAGGAGAGAGTGAAGTTAGTCTTTCATGCCAAAGAGTTTGGAAAGATAATAAACTTCAAAACTCCAGAGATAGCCAAAGTAAGTTTGCAATTTGGACTCAAGCTGATATTTCCTTTCAGTCGGGATACACGACTAGTGAAAATAATTAGTTCTAACTTTGGGTCATTATTTATTTTCAGTGGGTTCTCACCAAATTGGAGGATGCAAGAGAGAGTTTACCCAAGTACTGACTCTGAAGATCGAGAAATGCTAAACACACGAGCTCTGTGTGTGCCAGTGCCTTTTTTTCTTTACTGCATGCTACTTTTTTTTCCCTCCGTGTGTGACTAGTGAATAAACGATGTGGACTGTCGGTGTGTGTCGGGGCTGAAAGACACAGTGTGCATGTAGACAGATTGCTGATTTCCATCCACTTTGCTTTGCATTCATTATTTTACACCTGGTCATGTTTTTTGTTTTTATTATAGTTCTCTTTATTAAAACGTTAAGTCTGGAGTTTACGAACAGGTTCTGTTATTGCCTGCTTGAAGGATTGTACGAATGGAGGATTGTGATTCCTTAGATGTACTTGTTCTAATCAAACACACATTAAAGCTGCTGTTGGACGAACTTTGAAAGGGGAAAAGAATGAGCGGGCCTCCACCTGCAGCTCATACCTCTGTTTCAAGTCTCTCCCACCAGATGAGCGCAGGATTTTGCACATTACGCACAGTTAAAAAAGGATTTTTGTTGACCTTGAGCTTCATGTGGATACCCCCGGCTCTAGCGGGTGAAAACTTTCTTAACCCTCCACCTCTTGCTCACTGCCCAAGAGAGCCAAGAAGAGGTAGAAGAGGACTCCCACTCCCCCACAAACGCTATTGTTGACCCCCCCCCCCCCCTTTCATAATGAAACCAAAAACATTTTTGCCTACCGTAGCTTTAGAGATTGAGTTTAACTTTCATTTCTGGATGTAAAGGAGGATTTGGGTGTAGAAATGTCAATCTTAACAGTGACTGGTAGGGGGGGAAAAAAATCCCTCGAGTATCACTGAGGCCAAATTAACTGTAATTGTTGTAGCACATTTAATGTTGCACACTGTTTCTTTTACTGGATTATATAAAAGGCATGCTAATATGAATTAGTATGGCTTTATAGTACACATAATTCAAAAAATGTGCATCCTTAAAGTTCTTCTTTTTCCTATTTTTTTTATACATTGCAGAATAAAGACTGTTGAGTGTGTGAGTCAGAGATGCATGCTATTTTTATACTGTACTTACATGCATCAGTTTGCTGTATATGACCTAATATGATGTCTATCTGTATATATCCATCCTCGCATCAGACTTTATGAGGAGCTTGCAGTATGAAATTTTGTGATTTTTATGTTTTTATACCACACATATGCAATGCCAAACATGCTGATGAATTATACAGAGAAAAGGTATATATTGAAAATAAAGGAATGCTAATTATTATTATCAGCTGCTGTTTACTCTGATGTATATTTCAAAGATTTGATTTTGGTCTTGGGCGCATCACGATATAATATCACTCAATTTCATTTACATAGTTTTGTTTTCGGGGAGCAAAATATTCACTGCAGTGGCTTTTTCTTTTTCATGCTGTTTTCAATAAAGTTTTTTGAATTCAAAGCGGTCTTCATTTATTCCTCGCACCAAGAAAACGTCAGGCACCTGACTTGTACTCTTTATTAAATAATTATCTCTTTATTGAAAATAACCATAAATAGAAGAAACAGTTGTATTTTTTTTCCTAAAGCACATCTCAGACTATTTACATCTGACACTCTATGAACTCCGTGGCTCTGCTGACTGTCCTGAGTAAATAAGGCACTTAAGGCGTCTCAGTGTTAGAGCAACCATTTCTAAACATTATGAAATCACAAAACCGGGCTAAAGAGCATCCTTATCAAACTATTACATGGGGATACATTTACATACATTAAAGCACTCAGATCATATGTCTATTTAAATAAGTAGTTCACACAACAGGTCAGTTACTTGCTACTAATTTTCACTTTCTCATTTCCACTGTAATGTATCATTTACAGCAAATACTAAAAAACTACAAGGGAAACTAAAGCATCTAAACACAATTTCATGTTAGTATGTCTGGTACAGGATGTTTGTATTCTCTCTTTTTTGGATCTCCCTTGTTAGAAATGAAACAATTTCAAATTGCTTCTTTTTTGGTTTAAGCTTGATTGATAATTAGATTCTTTTCTATTTCGGCTTTCCTCAGGTCTTCTCTTGTATGCATTTGCTCCTGTGCTGTATGCAACCTTTCTACACCAGGTTGAAGTCCCCGAGGTTGTGCCTGAGGATGGCTGTTTTCACGTCCTTGAAGATTAAGCGGATGTTTTCTGTGTCTGTGGCGCAGGTGAAGTGAGAATACAACGTCTTGTCCTTCTCCAGGTTTTGTTCTTGGTACATTTTTAGGATGAATTTTTGAGCTGCTACTTGATCCTGCTGAGGTCCTGCAATTCAGGGTTGATATTATTTAAATATGTCAGTAAATTCAACATACGCTCACCAGACACTTGATTGGGTAGACTTGTTCAACTGCTTGTTAATGCAAATATCTAATCTGCCAATTACATGACAGGAACTCAATGCATTTTACGACCTGCTGAAGTTCAAACTGAGCATCAGAATGGGGAAGAAAAGTGATTTAAGTGACTTTAAATGTTGGTACCAAACAGGCTGGTCTGAGTATTTCAAATTTACTGAGACACAACCATCTGTAGTGTTTACAGTGAATAGTCTGAAAGTGAAAGATGATCTGTGAGTAGCAGTCCTCACAGAGGTCAGAGGAGAATGGCCAGACGTGATGATATAGTAACTAATGGTAATTAACTACTGATTTCAACCAAGGTATGCAGAAGAGCATCTTCTGAAGCAGATGGTCTACAGCAGCAGAAGACCACACATGGTTTCACCTCTTGTCAGCCAAAAACACCGAACCAAAACTGAAATTCTAAGTCTTGATACTTAAAGATTAAAAATGTGTTTAAAAAAAAAAAACAATCAGTTATTTTATTTTGAACAAATTATGGGTTTTTAATGCAGAACAAATTTGGTGATTTTCTTGTGGGCTTGTATCAAGGAGGGAGGGGCGGAGCTTAGACTAATGATTGCCAATGTGGACCAAAATTCCTGCTGAATGTTTTCAGCTCCTTTTAAAATCTCAGCCATGAAGAATTAAACCAATTCTGATGGTAAAGGAGGTTCAACCTGGTACCAGCACAGTGTACCTAATATAGTGTCAGTTGAGTATTTTTAGTCTATTTCAACACTTCCATAAAAATGAGTACCGTGCAGCGATTGTATGATGAAGGACTTAATTAGATCAGCTAAGTAATTACAAATCTTGTGGTGGAATAAGAGCTGAAATCAAGATGAGCATTCACTCAGTCTAACCTGTGAATTCAGGGAAGTAGGTGGATAAGTGAGAGTACAAGATCTTCTCCTTGAGGATGTCGGTCTTGTTGAGGAAAAGTATGACAGATGAGCGCTGGAACCAGGGGTAGGTGATGATGGTCTTGAACAGGGCCTTGCTCTCCTCCATGCGGTTCTGAGATGTTTAAAGGGATCAAACACATGTAAAACTCCAGGAGGATGTAAACTGAAATCATCATTTGCTGTGTCGTTAAATTCTCACCTCATTGTCGCACTCAGCCAGGACCTGATCGTATTCGCTGAGTGCCACCAAGAAAATGATGGAGGTGACGTTCTCAAAGCAGTGGATCCACTTTCTCCGCTCTGATCTTTGACCACCCACATCAACCATCCTGTCATAAAAGCAGCCAAGAAAAGTCACGCCACCTTCGAGGTCGGTGCCATGCCTGTGGCCAGTTCCAGTGCTGCTGCTATTATTTTGGTTCATAGAGTATTTCAAAGTAGAATGGGAGGCAGAGCCTTCAGCTTTCAGGCCCCTCTTCTGTGGAACCAGCTCCCAGTTTGGATTTGGGATACAGACAGCCTCTCTACTTTTAAGATTAGATTTAAAACTTTGCGTTTTGATAAAGCATATAGTTAGGGCTGGATCAGGTGATCTGTTAGTTATGCTACAATAGGTCTAGGCTGCATTGGCTTCCCATGAAGCACTGAGTGTTTCTTCTTCACTCACCTTTTACACATCACTCTTTAATCATTAGCTATTATTAATCTCTGGCTCTCTTACACAGTGTGTTGTTTGTCCTGTCGCCCTCACCTTATCCTCGAACAGTTGCAGCAGATGGCCGCCCCTCCCAGAATCTGATTCTGTTAAGAGTTTTCTTCCTGTTACAAGGGAGGTTTTCCTTGCTACTGTCACCAAGTGCTTTTTCAAAGGGAGTTGTTTAATTGTTGGCACTTTCTCTGCATTACTGTAAGGTCTTTACCTTAAGATATAAAGCACCTTGAGGTGACTGCTGTTTGTCATTTGATGCTATATAAACTCAACTGAACTGAATTGAAATGAAACTCTGTGCAGTGCAGAAGATGTCAATATGCACCTCACCTGAAAATGACATTCTGATCCTTAGACCACATGTCAAAGGGGTATTCAATGATACCAGTGGTTGGGACTCGGACTCTGAGGATGTCGTCAAGATCAGGTATGTATGAGGGCTGTGAAATCCGATCCAGATCTGTGAGATAGCTAAAAAGAAAAATATGCAGGGAGAAAAAAAACACTAAGAAAGGAGAAATGTAGAAAACTTAAAATGTAAACCAAATTTGATCCAGAAAAGTACAGAGATCTGCGCACACTGTTAAAGATCATAAATGCCTAATTCTCACTATTTGGTGGAGTCGGACAGCTGGTACTCCCTGCGCCGATCATAGCACTCCTGTATTCCAGGATCATCCCACAGACTCTTGACAGCCATGGCGAGGTTGCTATCTAAGTCCTTCACCTTATCCACCTCCACCTCCAGGACTGCGCTGGCATGGCTCTATGGACACACCGAGGAGACAAAAAGACAGTGAGGTAACAATGAGGTAACCATCCATCAAGTCTTTATTGTAAAGGACTGGAACAGAGTCAGTCTGCCTGTACCTGGTTCTGGGGATCAGTGAAAGATATACCAAGAGCCTCCATAGCTCGGACCATTGTCTGCATGGACGTGTAGATGTTCTGGTACACCAGCTTGGCATAGCTCCTTTTGTCCTCGTCTGTATATCCTCCTCCATGGATAATCCTCATTTGTTTGATAAAGGTGCTCTTTCCACTCTCTCCAGTGCCTGTGAGACACATTGAGGATTAAACTCAATAATAGATTTATTTGGTCTACAATTTTTTGCCTCGTTGCAAATTAACATTCTGCAAATCAAACCAAAGTAAACATCTGCTGGCTGCGTGAGCAGACGGGAATGCAGTTTTATGTCTAAGGTCTGTTTTTAAAAATCTGCATTCACGTGACAGCCTGTTTCTCAGCAGTGCTCATCGGTGCAGGATTTGACCATTTTAATTGTCATGTTTCTGAATTTTAAAGAAATCATGCTGATGAGTCAGTTACGACTGCTTTCATTGTCTTGATTTTGATGCCAGACAACAGGTTCTCATAGTACCTAGAAGTATTTAAGTATCAAAACCACCAGTAATAACATTAGTCTAACTACAGCTATAAAGAGGAAGAAAACAAATGTTAAGTATAAGAAAATTAGAGTACTTATTGTACAAGCAGATTATATCATTATAGTATAAATACTGAAATGTGTAAGCATCACTTATGTGCAGGTTGATATGGAGCTCATATGTGTGCTGCTGAGAGCTACATAGATAATGTTTTATTAAACGTATTGATATGCACACACTTACTAGATAAATTCAATTGCCCTATAGTATAATACTTTGAGTGGTGGAGGGATGTTTTATTTTGTCATGCCTCTATAATTATTTGCCTTTGTTCCCTGCCTGAGCAAATCAACCCCAGAAGCCCTGCAAACGGTCCAGAATGTGGCTGTGAGGCTGCTCAACAGGTCCTTAAAAGGTCCCATGTGACACCGATTCTTTCTTCTTTAGGCTGACTTCCAAAATTTTAGTGATCACTTTGGGTCTGAACCATTTAACAGAGAGGCTGTGCCTCAAGAGCTAGAGCAGGTCATTTACCTGTTGTAAGGCTGGTGGTTTGATCCGCGGCTGCTCCGCTCTGCATGCCAAACTATCCTGGAGAAAGATACTGAACCTTGAGTTGTTGTGTGTGGTCAGTGCTAGCTAGATGTTTGACCTTTAATTGTGCTAATTAAATTGGAAATGGACTGGTTTATTTCCAGTTTACTATGGTCAGTTGCCTCCATGTATTAGTAAATTACTACATTCATATGCAAATACGAGATCTTTGAGGTCAGCTGATCAGAGCTTGCTGGTGGTATCTGGTCCAGGTTAAAGATAAAAGACGAGCCTAATTTTCTACTCTTCATTTATCCCAAGAGAAGATATTATGGCCACTGCAAGCAAGCAAATTTAGCTCTCTGCTGCAAAGACACAAACGAAAAAAGTCATGGGAGTCTCTATCCCTCCTTACAGTGACAATTTTAAACTTGAAGTTGTCTACGATACAGTAAAATGTACCCCTGCCCAATGTCATGCATCCATGCCCCTTCTGCAAGAGCATAAAGTTTATATATACTTTAAAATATTACTGAGCTGCATCCTGGTGAGTTATTACTGCAACTCAATATTTATGATATTTACATTAAAAAAGACCCAAATTTGAATTATTACGTGTGATGTTGCACAGGTGTTGCATACTGTATGCCAGCTGGCAGCTGCCTGGCAGCTACATTAAAGACCCATCTGTCTTTTTATGAACAACTTTTTACTAAGAGATAAGTTGAAAGAAATAAAAACAAGTTCTGTGACAACTCTCAATACCCAGCTTGTCCACGCAGGGACGCAAGCTGAACGATTTGAATGTATATTTGACTGCCAAAAGGACACTCGCCAATATCCGAGAACAGGAAGTTTAAATATCACAAATTGCCCGAAATAAAATTCAACATATCATTCATAGCTTTGGTTTCACCTGGTTGAATAAAATATTTTAGTCAACCTTTGGAACATAATTTGCTTCTGAAAAATGACCTTCCTTTGGTCAGATGGAAAAATAAATAAAACAAAAGCCCTCCTAACTTCCAATAATTAATTCAACAAGAACGGTGCACTTTTTCACCCTGAAACCTTTCCTGAGTGACAGGATCAGATGCACGCTTAATAACTCAGAGACTCGGTGTGTATTTGGACTCAAGCTCTCCATCTAAAAGGTCTTTCGACTAACTTATATTTCACTAAAACATAATATACTAGATGCATACATACTTGTTCTTATTAAAAGGTATGAAAACCACACACACAGAGTCCCTTTCTGCCATGTTACTCTTCAGCTCTTACAGCAAAAACTCGTAATATTCTCATTGAGATCACATGATGCACAGCCGATTTGGTAAACAAATGTGTTTGTTAACAGACCTGAATATTGGAGGTTGCTGTGTTTGTGTATGTGTGGATTTATGCAGGGATGGGTGGGGAGTTTCATCTTTTGGGCAGTCGGTGTGTGCGTGTGTGTCCAGCTTGCATGTACGACACAGCTTCATACCTGCACACTTCCTCAATTGGGGAACGCTGTAACACGAGGCGGTGGTGCCCGCGTGAATGAATGTGATGTTAGTGTCATGAGATAACGGCTACTGTCAAAGTCTGTCCTCTCCGGGGTTTTTTTGTTGTCACAACTGAAATGTACCTGCTAGGCAACGACTGTGCAGAGGCACAAAACAAAAAACATGAGAAGTCACTAATCTGCAAAATTTGACTTTTAAAAACAAACAAACAAAAAAAAAAACAAGATCCAGCAGATCTACTGCTACATTCAAACATATTCCAGTTAAAAATAACAGAAAAAACAACACTTCTTCCAAAAAGAAGAACCAAACAGTATTTCAGTGTCTATATATGTAAATGTATGTATAGATATTTGAGGGTATATATCGAAGGTATGTGTATATCCATATTTTTAAGTGTGCGCATGTGCATTTATACATTTAAACATGTTTATATGCATATATAGTATAAATATTATAATATAAATAATATTATTTATCACAACTGTGATAACGATCCTGTAGCGTGGGTAGGCGTGGGTAGGTGTGTATACACACCTACCCACGGTGAATGTAAGGATACATGTATGTATAGATGTATAATTGCATATGTTTGTTGTATGCACATCATGTGTCGGTATGAATGCACTTTTATGTGTGTGTGGGTAATTGGCAGGTCATTTGAAAGTAAGATAAATATTGCTATCATTCCATAAATAGGAAGGATCATATAAGTTTATACTTCTTCTTAATCCTTCTCAGGCATAAAAAGTTGAGTTATTTATACACAGACAACTAACATACTGAATATTTGACTATACCTATCTACTGAGCTGTGATGATTCGGTATGCAAGTCGGCAGCTGTTCAAGTCAAATTTAAGGCCTCTGACAAAAAAGGGCAGAAAGTGAAGGTGTTGATCTCTTGTACTCTCAGTAGACCTGACTCTGACCATCCTAATGAAATCCACTGAGAGCTGAGTCACTCTGACCAGGTAACAAAAGGTTACTTTCTAGATCATGGCTGTCATACTCCTTTTACACTGTGGCCCACACAGAGCCCTGTTTGATCTTAGTGGGCTGGAGCAGTAGATTTATTACCTGGAAAAGAAAACCCTCCAAATCATTCCTCTTTCTGTCTGTTAGAGAGTTATCTCTGGGATGCTGGGATGATAGCTCCTTCAGGACTTAAACTCCGGTCAGAGAGTGGGGCACAGAGAGTGATGTCCAGATATACTTTAATGGAAGTTAACAGCAGCTCAACAGTACAGCAGTAGGCATACTGAACAAGTGTGGGAGGGGCGGACATGCGTGTGGTTCGTTGCACTTATAGCGATGCGACTGAAATATAAGGAGACTTTCGGTCACCGTCAGTGTAAAGACATTTAAGTATACATTAAATAGCTCAGACGGCATGAGAAAAACAAACGCATTTGCAACAGAAACACTCCAACGTGACTCTTTGTTCTCCCACTTTAAGAAAGGAGAATGATGATGAAATGCTTAAAAATGACAGAAAAAAAGCAGTTTATTTCCCAGACTATCCTGCAGACTGACATAAAATACACTTTGAATAATGACATTTATGTCCTTCTTCTTTGCATTTACCACATTATCCAAAGTTATTGCCTCTGTCAGTGCGCCCCAGAGCAGTTGTGGCTACAATGTAGCTTGCCATCACCAGTGTGTGAATGGGTGGATGACTGAATGTAGTGTAAAGCGCTTTGGTGTCCTTAGGGACTAAGTTAAGTGCTATACAAATACAGGCCATTTACCATTTATTTAGGGGGCTGGATTGGGCTCTTTGATGACCAGGTTCTGGGCCCTGGGCCTTATGTTTGAAACTCTTTCAGCCTGAACAGAGACCTCAGGGTCATCCTTTTTTCTGCAAAGTCCCTCCACGTTTTGACTTCTCTCAACTACCTTTGTGATGCGTTAAACAAAACTGCTGGAGTCCAGCTGTCTGTAACAGCCTACAGTGAGCTGCGAAAATGTTTTTCTTTTAAAGCAAATGAATGTTGGTTTGGGGGCAAAAACATAACGCTGTGTTTTGAGTGAAATGATCTGCTAAGAGAACAGTTGGTAAAAACCAATAGCTTGTGCTCCGTGATGCATTTGCATGACTTTTGCATGAAACGCTAGTTATGGCTTTCAAACACACCACTGACCAAGGCGTGGATGGCGACTGGTTCCTGAAGTGCTCCCACACTACTGCAGTAAAATGCGCCCCCCCCAGGAAGAGAGAGAGAGAGAGTGTGTGTGTGTGTGTGTGTGTGTGTGTGTGTTTCTGTGGCCAGGTGGAGACTTACCGACCCCAGCAGGCAAAAAGTACTCAAGGATTCAAATCTCCGACCACGCTTAAATCAATGGCAGCGCCATGGCGCGCGGCTGCGCATACCCTGGATGTTCTCGGAAAGCCAGTGCGCCTCAACTGTGAAACGCTGCTCATGACTTGAATCCTCTCATGTAGCCACACGTGGCAATGACAAAATGTTGCGTGCTGGATATAATATATATAAAATTATATATTTGCCTTCTAAAGTGTGCATTTTACTTTCATATGGCTAAATGAATACTAGTCGACAGGCGTCAGAGCTCTGTCCCACCTGCCACGATACCCGTGGCCAGGAAGCGGTGAAGTAATGGCAAATTTTGAGCTGTCTCCCACAACTGAAAATGAAAACGCCTGGATCCTTCCGCTAGAGGAACAACTTTAAGAGCAAATGTTTTAAAGCTTTTCTTTTGCCCGGAAAAGAACATTTATGGCTACAATCTAGATAAAACTTTTGAATGATTTACAGCAAAGCACGAGGAGAATGAGGAGGACTCCGTGAAGTCAGTTACCCTCCGAGCTGGTGTTCAGGTTAGTGATGCTCACCTAAAAGCAGCAACTTGAGCTCCATGCGAGAGTCCTCCTTGTCCCTCCGCAGCTGCTTCTCAATCTCCTCGTTGATCCTCTGGTTCTCTCTCTCCTCCGCTGAAAGACAGCATCCAGCCATCGCTGAAAGTCACCAGGTTGCTCTCCAACGACCACTCGGCTGTAAAAATGTCGCAGGCTTTGATTAAAGACAGGAAAAAAAAAAAGAAAAAGGAAACTCAGACGTGTTAAAAAAAAATGCTCCTTTGCCCCCTCTTGCACTTCACAACTTCAGACGCAAAAAGGCACAGAGCATCTTCAAAACTGCGCCTTTGACTTCCACAGAAACAGAAAAGTTTGCTGCTAAAATATAAAGTGCTAGATTTCAGGGGTAAGTCCAAAGCTCTCTCTCTGTTTTACTTAAGCATCGAGGTGTACAACAAGGTGCACCACGAGCTGTTCCTATTGAACAAAGTGCTGCAGTTATACTCTACCTGGACGACACTTCAGCTTTATCCTGACGAATCGGGAGGGCGTGGCACCGGCTACAAATAGAAAAGGATAAAATGGGAAGTTCGCTGCCACAACCTGTGGAAACGGTGAGCGAGGAGGAATTCACCTGTAGATGAGTTTTAATCGGACATGGAGTGCCATGGCTCATTCTTAGAAGTGCTCCACGCTGTGCTCGCTTTCCTTGGAAGTTTCTTTAATATCACACTCGTAATTCACGAGTCTTGATGACATTAAATCATGGTTCGCGTTAATTTTTTGCATATAAATGATCAAAAAAGATCATACTATTCAGCCCCTGTTCTTCCCTAAACGTTGACCTTGGCCCACCCGAAAAGTTCAGAACCTCGTTTGCCAAAGATTTAGGAATGTTTCTCGCAGGGGAGATTTTAGCCCAAAATGTCTGTCTGTCTGTGCGGTTTTAGCACCCCCAAAGATTTCTTACTTTCATGACAATATTTGCTGTTTGTGTGACACACTAATATAAAAAGCATACAGTACTTGGTTGAGACGTAACATTTTAACAACAAAAGTATAGATACCCCCCCCCCACACCCCCAAAAAAAGAAATGGTTTGTTCCAGCTCGCCCCTCCCCTGCTCTGGCTCTAGCGCCGTTGCTGCCAGAGCGATGATGGCTGAGACACAGCGGAACGGAGGTGTAAGTGCCTGGCTTAAAACAGGACATATTAGCTGCATTTTACCTTCAATTACTCTTTATATAGTTAGGTAGGAGTCAGGTCATGTTTCTTTTTAGCTGAAAAACATTACACCCAGGTAACCTGCAGTGTTGAAAACTTTTCCGTCGATGTTTGCTACCCTACAATCCGTCCTGCTCTGTAGTAAAATCAGCGACATTTGACCGTCCTGTTGCTCCCATTGAAATTTGTATAACCTATTTAAAATATAAAACTTAAAATTGTCCGTAGCCTACTGTTGTTACCACTGTCCTGTTTGAAATGGATACTAACTAGCTAACTGACTGAATGCCCATTAACCTTATAACTCCGTGTGTGTGTGTGTGTGTGTGTGTGTGTGTGTGTGTGTGTGTGTGTGTGTGTACAGAGAGACAGCCAGGTTCATAATGGATATAAGGAAGGTTTTTCAAAAAAAGGAGCCACATTCAGGTAAAAATGATCTGTCAATCAAGAATAATGTTGGATCAGTGTTTTATTAGATGTTCATGTGGTTTGGTTATTTGCCTTTTGGTTGAAAGTACACTGAGAGAGGACTTTTTGTTAGTGAGCTTAATAGTGTTTTTTTTTTCATATTGATGTAATTTTTCATCTAATTGAATCTATTTGTGTATGATTGTCAGTCCAAAAAGGGAGAGAGGAAAGAGGGGAATGTGAGGAGAAAGTACAAGGTCATGACCTTCCTGCAGGAAGAACCAGGTAAGAAAACAGACAGGGAACAGTGACAGGCACAACAGAAACTGTTAAACTGACAGTTTAAAGAGAAAAAGCCTGATTTTACTCACACAATCTGGAAGTTGTGTCCTCCCTATATTAAAGCTGCTATACAGAATTTGCAAAACAAACTGGGTTGAAACATTTTTGACCCTCTTTAACAACATTCCAACATAACATTATAATTGATTGGGGAGATTAAAATTAATGATATATTTTTATGTGGTTCAGCCTAGGGCTGCACGATTAATCGTTAGAAAATCGCAATCTCGATTCATACTTATGTGCGATCTCATTTCCAAATTACAATGATTTAAAAAAAACAAAAAAAAACCGACGACGACAATTGTACCGCATTTTGATCCGGGACGTACTCTGCATGAAAACAAGCGCTCACTCTTCCTGCTCAACAAATGACAAGGGCGGAGCCTTATACCACATATTACAGAAGCTGTGCCGTGTGATACTAAAATTAGCAGGGAAAAAACAACGGAGAGCACGTCAGGGATGACAAGAAAGTGACAGGAGAAAATCCGTTCCGGTCAACCACCCAAACACCAATAACGGGAACCTTATACAGCGCTTCCCTATACCCGTCAAACTCAAAGAAATTACAGAGGCTATCACTTATCACCTGACCAAAGATATGGCTCCCATCAACACTGTGCAAAGCGAGGGATTTAGGAAAATGATCAACACCCTAGACAAACGCTACACAGTGCCGTCCTGCAACTATTTTTCTATTGTTGCACTACCTGCTCTATACACGCAGCGTCGAGCAACGGTGGAGACGGAATTTCAAGCAGTACAACATTTTGCGGCAACAACAAAACGTAAGACATTTGTTGTTTTTATGTTTATTTATTGTTTTTATGTTCAGTCTCAACTGTTACGAAGTTGATGTGCAGTTAATAAGTGCAATAAATATTTATACTGGAAAAGAAAATCGTGAGAGAATCGTGATCTCAATTCTAAGCCAAAAAATCGTGATTCTCATTTTATGCAAAATTGTGCAGCCCTAGTTCAGCCACAACTCTACTAAAACCTCAGCCAGTAATAGGTAGGCCAACTTTTGCCAATTATGCCAGAGATTTTATACCTGCAAACTGAGATTACATTACAACGCCTGGAACAGCCAAGGCATGGCCTCATCTCGAATGCATTGCAAGTGAGATCGTTCCACTTCAAAGCTGTGATGTTGGTCTGCTGATTGGGTACAACTGCCCCCAAGCATTTTTTCCTCATGAGGTTGTGTCTGGAAAGGAAAATCAGCCGTTCGCACAAAGAATTGATCTGGGATGGAGTATTGTAGGTTATGGCAATCCATGTCTCGATTATGGAGATGCCTTTGGAGTAAGTCACCAAGTCATTGTGAAGTAAGTAATGCCTGACATTCAGCCCTCTTCAAACCTCACCAACAAGGTTCACTATGTCTACAGAACTCAAATAAAGGAAATGACCTCTCCCACAGAGGTCCAAAAGATGTTGGAGTCTGACTTTGTTGAGAAAGCACCAGAAGATACAAAGGTCTCTCAAGAAGATCTCAAATTTCTAACAAAGATGAAGACTGGCATTAGTCAAGGCATGTGCTATTCATCATCTCAAATGTTTAGAAAAAAACCTCAAGAGGAACAAGCAGAACTACATGGACTATAAGAAATTCATGGATGAGATCCTAGCCCATGGAGATGCCGAAAAGGTCCCAGAGCAACACATTGACAAAACACCAGTTTGGTACATCCCACACCATGGCGTGTATCATCCACAAAAACCTGGAAAGATTTGTGTCGTCTTCGATGCCTCTGCCAAGTTCCAAATGACCATCTCCTGACTGGTCCAGAGCTAACAAACACCTTGCTCGGAGTCTTGTGTCACTTCCGAAGAGGTCCAGTGGCTTTCATGTGTGATATCGAATGCATGTTCCACCAATTCCATGTGCATGCTTGCGACCAAGATTACCTATGGTTCTTGTGGTGGGAGAACGGTAACCTTGAAACTCCATTCACTGTCTATAGGATGAAGGTACACCTATTTGGAGCAGCATCTTCTCCAGGTTGCACCAACTACAGCCTCAAGCATCTTGCAGCTGAAGGAGAAGGAAGTTTTGATGAAGAAACCATTAAGTTCATCAAAACCAACTTCTATGTTGACGATGGACTAGCAAGTGTTGACACTGAAGATCAGGCAATACAGCTTGTTAATGAAGCACGGAAACTCTGCAGCATGTCAAACTTCGGTTGCACAAGTTAATCTCAAACCGCACCCAAGTTCTAGCTTCACTTCCGAAGGAAGAATGTGCTGCAGCTGCCAAGGATCTAGACATGGCACTCGGTGAAGTACATATGGAAAGAGCGCTTGGCGTACAATGGTGTGTCGCATCAGATCAATTTCAGTTGAGAGTAGTTGTTAAGGAAAAACCACTCACCTGAAGAGGAGTATTGGCCACAGTCGCCTCTGTGTTCGATCCACTTGGGTTTGTGTCACCTTTCATTCTGCTGTGAAAGCAGATCTTGCAACAAATGTGTCCAGAAAAACTCAGCTGGGATGAGACCTTACCTGACAGTCTTCAACCTCAGTGGGAGTCTTGGTTGCGTGACCTGGGAAACCTTGCAGACGTAAAGGTTCGCAGATGCTACATTCCTTCGAACTTCAAGGCACAGCACTACAAACTTCGAGCAGTAAGCACATCTGGTGAAGTTCAGTGCTCATTGGTGATGGGAAGATCGAGAGTTCCAACAACCAAAGTCACAACTATACCTTGGCTTGAGTTGTCAGTGGCCATTGTTGCTGTGTGCACTGGTGACATGCTGAAAAAGGAATTGGAAATGAAAATTTCAGAAGAAAGGTATTTGACTGACTCAAAGGTGATACTTGGATACCTCAGCAATGAAGCCAGAAGATTTCATGTGTTTGTTGCAAACCGAGTGGAACGCATCAAACAAAGTACAGATTCAACCCAATGGAGTAACTTCCGAAGATAATCCGGCGGACCACGCCTCAAGAGGCATCACAGCAGAACAACTTGTAACATCAAACTGGTTCAAAGGCCCAGACCTCCTTTGGCAGAAAGTCATACCCAGTTGTGAAATTAAGGTGGGAGAGTTATCAACCAGTGACGCAGAGGTTAAGAAGGTTCAAGTTCACAAGATACAAGTGGAGGAACAAGGGTCTCTGTTAGATCACCTACACAAGTTTACCGACTGGTGGAGAATGATTAAGGCAGTTGCTAGACTCAAGCGCTATGTGAAAGAAGCAAAAGTTCACTAGAGTAGATCACACGACATCAGTAACCTACAAGAAAGAAAGGAAGCAGCGTTAACAATCATAAAGATGGTTCAAGAAACAGCCTTTGCTCAGGAAATAAAAACCTTGCAACATCACGATGGGATGCAGTTCAAAGACAAGGTTAACAAATTACACAAGTTATGCCCATTCCTTGATGACCAAGACATTCTTGGGGTAGGCGGACGTTTAACACATGCAGCTTTGCATCCCAATGTCAAGCATCCTGCAATCCTGCCAAGAGACAGTCACGTGTCAGCATTACTGGTCAAACATTACCACGAGAAGACATACCATCAAGGACAAGGCATCACCATGAACGAACTTCGAGCTAACGGATTCTGGATTCTTGGATGCAGCAAGATTGTGTCATTTTACATCTATAAATGTGTAAAATGCAGAAGGTTCAGAAGGCACACAGAGCAGCAGAAGATGGTAGACCTCCCAGAGGATCGGATGGAGACAACACCGCCATTCACCTACTGCGGGATGGACTGCTTCGGTCCTTTTTATGTAAAAGAAGGCTACAAGGAGCTAAAGCGTTATGGCTTGCTAATCACTTGCATGTGCTCCAGAGCAGTGCATCTTGAAATGCTTGACGACCTCTCTACGGATTCCCTCATCAAGTCCTTACGTCCGTTCATAGCCATTAGATTAAGCCATAGGTACAGATAAGATGCGATCAAGGCACGAATTTTGTCAGCACTAGAAATGAGTATATTTAAGCTTTTAAGGAGATGGATCAAGCCAAGATAGGGAAACTGGACTGCGAGTTTCTCATGAACACCCCAGCATCTAGTCACATGGGTGGTGTCTGGGAAAGACAAATTCGCACCATAAGAAGTGTTCTCATTCTGGAAAAATCAGCCAGACAACTCTTCCTTAGAGCTCCTCTCTAAGGACATTCCTGTATGAAGTCATGGCAGTGATTAATAGCAGACCATTGACTACTGACCAGCTATGTGATCCATCAAACCCAGAACCTTTAACACCGAACCACATACTAACCATGAAGTCCACAATCATCTCCCCACCTCCAGGACGGTTTGTGAAGGAAGATCTTTATCTCCGTAAGAGGTGGCGTCGTGTTCAACTACTCGCCAACACTTTCTGGACAAGGTGGAAAAAAGAGTATTTGTTAAATCTTCAAGGCAGACAGAAGTGGACCAAAGAGCACAGAAATGCTAAGATCAATGAACATCTCAGGCCCTCCAAGGTTTGGAGGCCTATCTCCACCCACCACCACTTCCCCTGCCAGTGGAGGACTCCCTCAAGTGTCGGTGCGTTGGTGGTTCTTTGTGTCTGGGGTGGGCGTCTGGGTACACACCGGCTCACTCCTTGGCGGCCGCTTATCGGGGCCTGGAGCCTGGGGCTCGCTCGGGCCACTTCGGAGGTGGGGTGCCCCCGGCCTCTCGGCCTGGGCTCGGTCACTCAGGCACAGCTGGCTGCCGGCGGAGCTCACGGGCGCGTCACTGCAACTCCCCCTGGCTTCTGCTCCACGGCTGCTGAGTGAGCCCTCATCTGGGACTCTCCTCAGCTCTTACTGGGACAGTGGCGCGGCTGCCCCTCTGTTGGTCTTCCTTGGTCTCTTGTGTTCTGGGGGCCTCTGGATGTCTGGAGTTTTGATCTCCTCCATACCTGCTTCATACCTTGGAGGACGGGGCTGTGGCTCCCCACACTCCCTAGCAGATCGTTACATGGAGAAACCTTTGGAATGCAAGCATGCTGATCCACACAGGTATGCACACAGGTGTACACACGGGTATTCACAGACGTGGACTACAGCTTTCTTGGCTGCTGCCTCAAAGCACATTGTGCGCTGTCTATCTTGCGTGCTGCACAATATCGTTTATTATTTAGTATCTACTGATATCTACTGCTAGCTAGTTTATTGTGATGGTGCCGTTTTGTTTTTTTTTTTTATTATGTTGCTCTTTGTTGTTTGCTCTCTCTTCTGTTTTTTTTCTCCATACAGGTGACCCAGGTGTTTTTTTTTTTTGTTTTTTTTTTTCTTTCTTCCCCCCCTTCTCACCGTCTCGTCTCCCCTTTGGTTTTCTTTCTCTCCCTCTCTTTCTTTCATTCTTTCTCCCTGTCCTATCCCCCAGTCATGTCTGTCCCGTTTGTAGCAACTGAAAATAAAATAAATTCATAATTATAATAAAGGTCAATCAAATGGACCAATATGGCAAGGCCATGATGATCCACTTGGTAAAATAAATCCGCTTGGCATCTTTCTTGGCCTTAAGACAACAATTCTGATGGCTAAAGATCCAAACGGGACACACAAAAAAAAAAAGGAAAAAAAAAAGAGTATTTGTTAAATCTTCAAGGCAGACAGAAGTGGACCAAAGAGCACAGACATGCTAAGATCAATGATCGTCTGAAGGATGAGATAACTCCACGCAACCAGTGGAAGTTGGCAAGGATCATTGAAGTGTACCCTGGAAAGGATGGAAGAGTGACCAAGGTGAAATTGCTGCTGAGTGATCCAACCCTGGATAAAGAATGAAAACGTACCTCCAAACCTGTTCACCTGGAAAGACCCATTCAGAAGACAGTCATTTTGATGGAAGGGGAAGAAGATTCTCCACCGCACTCTGCTTAAATATAATTCATAATAGTTCATTTAAAAGCCATTCATTAGTTCATAGGCAATACTTTATTCTTTAAATCACAAGTGATTGGTGGGAGTGTAACGGTCTTTTGCATTTTATGTTTTGTTGAGCTTTATGTCCAGATTTTGCTCTTTTGCACCCTCTGGTGGTGAAGTATCGAGGGTTCAGTTGTTTGCAGTTTGGGTCTCCACTCAGCCACTTTATGCTAGCGCACATGGCGTCTGCATGCTGCAGCTCGCGGTCAGCTCCATACATGGAGAAAATATTGTTCAAAGAGAAGAAATAAGTGAGAAAGAAGGCCATAAAGGACTATTTAGGCCCTCCTGGATGTCAGCTCAGGAGGTTTGTGTATTTTAAATGTTTTATTTTCTGTAATTACGGACATTTAATTAATTCATTATGTCAGTCCTGGCGTTCCATACTTAGGTCTGCAGATAAGTTCCTTTTGACAGAGGTGAACAAGCTTTTGTGATCACTGCACCCAAACTCTGGAACAGTCTGCCCCTTCATTTAGGTCTTCCCAACACTCAGCATTTTTAAAACCCAGTTGAAAACACAATTGTACTCTCTAGCTTTCAATTATGACTAGTCTTTTATAGTAATTACTATGTATGTTTACTATGTTATCTCTACTATGTACATCAATTTGGCTCAACCCATGTTGTTTTTCAATGTGCTTATAAATAAATTTTGATTCGATTTTTTTATTTTTTTATTTGATTTTGGCTACACGCCTTGACACACACACAAAGTTACCTTTCTGTTCAGATTGCGTTATGATTATAATTCAGTTAACTCAACAGCTGTTGTGCCTTTCTCCTGATGCTTCAGGTGGAACTGTTTGAAAAGGACATAACGAACATAAAGACAGAACTGAACCATGTCTCTGCTGCTGACAAATCTCCCATCAGCCTCTACGAGTACTTCCACATTTCCCCCATTAAGGTGTGTGCGAATGCAGTTTCTGTCAAACAAATAGTGTCTGAACTGATCTCTGCAATTTCTTTGTTGCTATACTAATGCCTGCTGATGTTTTTGTGTTTTTGTTTTGTCAGCTGCACCTGAGTTTCTCTCTGAGCTCAGGCGGAGAGGATGGCTTGACACAGAAGAGAGATCGGAACTGAACCCTGTGCAGTTGCTCAATTTGTTGCTGAAGAGTATCAGCTCACTGACGTGCAGGATGTTGTCTTCAAGTATGAATACAGAAAAAGGCTCAAATAGACAGCATGCATGTGCCATCCATTAGCATTAAATTACTTCCATGTGACTTGTTCTTGGTGATTCCAACCCTGCTTCTTGGCTGAATGTGACATTTATTTCAGGCTGGCCTTTTTTGAATTGACCTACCAGTTCTACACCACTCAGCAGCTCCAGTGGGAGGTCCTCAGACATTATTCTAAGCAGGTAATACATACAAGCACAATGAAACCAGACAAGTGGCAATTTGTCTTGTCTTCTTTTGTTTTGATATTTTGATTTTCCACCTATGTGTATCTCAAGGCTATTAAGCAGATGTATGTGCTGGTGCTGGGCCTCGATGTTCTTGGAAACCCATTTGGACTGATCAGAGGATTGTCAGAAGGGGTGGAGGATTTCTTTTATGAGCCCTATCAGGTAATGATATCCAATAAAAATATTGACAAGTTCAACTGGGTCTTTTAGCTTTGAAGTGCGTTATAAAACCTGTTGAATAGTTACGTTGTGTAATTTAGAAAATATGGCCACATTGGATTCAGGTTAACATTCACAATAACTGTTCTTTTTTTTTCTTCTAGGGAGCCATCCAGGGCCCTGAGGAGTTTGTTGAAGGAATGGCTCTTGGGGTTAAGGCGCTGGTGGGAGGAGCTGTAGGTAAGCATGAAATGGTGTTAAAGGGGTAATACTGAGTCAGCCTTAGCTCAACAGGATCAGGTCAAAACTGCTAAATAATCACTGGAATTTCTAATTCAAAAATTAATTATGTTTAATTTATCTTTTATTTTAAATTTAAGTACAGCGTTGTGCAAAAGTCTTGCACTCATTTCTTTGTATTTTGAAATACAGTATGTACAGCAAAAACAGTTTTTACAATTCTTTATCACATCCTGAACTCTCTTACTCAGCTTCCTTGTCTTCAGGAATAGTTCTCCAGGCTTCTAGAAGGACATTCAAAGCTCTTCCTTAGATGCTGGTTGTCTTTTGTTCTGTTTTCTGTAAAGATGATCCCACACTGCTTCACTTATGTTGAGTCTGAGCACTGCTTCACCTAAGTGGAGGCATGCCTTTTAGACCTGCAACTTCTTTCTTTGTCCCTCCCAACTGTCCAGTTTCCTTCACTTGTTTTCAGCTATTTTATGTCTGTCAAACTGTGTTATCATTGCCATGTTTCATAGATTGAGCAAATCATTTGCTTTTTGTGAGAGGCTGCTGGTAACAAACTGGTTAAAAATAAAATTTAATTGAAAGTGTCCATTATGTGTAGAAACAATAATGATTCATCCCTTTAGCCTGGTGTCATTATATGCTTGACATCAGTGTTAAGAAGTTTATCAGATGTTAAAAATAATCCTGTGAAAATAATCTGAAACTAGATTGAAAATGAGTTAAAAAGCAGTAAATATCCAACAAAAAACTTAATAAAGCTCGGAGAATTATCGCTCATCACCACATGAAAAAAATAAATAAAAAGAAATGAAGGTCGTTAAAGAGTTTGTACAGCCCTGCACGCTGTCCTCACTTTATCTGCTGTCATTATACACGTTGATTGACTGGGATGGGTTCATGGCTGCTATATAGGGCTGTAATTTGAACAGTGTAATAACTGAGCATTTGTCGTTTTACTGCATGTGTTTTTAATATAGTGTTATATCTGTTAAATTTCAGCATTATATTGCCTTTAACAGTGAACTGTGGCTGTTTCATTACACATCTGAGACTTTTTAGCACCATGTTGGAGCCCTTAAAATTTCAGATTTTCACTGACACAATTTTGACATGAACATTTAAGATATATTAAAAAATATTCTCAGGTAAGAAATCATGTTTGTTATTCAGGCGGTATTGCAGGTGCAGCCTCCAGGATAACAGGTGCCATGGCAAAGGGTGTCGCAGCGATGACAATGGATGAAGAGTACCAGCAGAAGAGACGAGAAGCTATGAACAAACAGCCCAGCGGTCTGAGAGAGGGGCTGACCAGGGGTGGAAAAGGACTGGTGTCTGTATGTAAAACTGTTTGGTTTTTAAGTTGCTCCTCTCTGTTTATCAGCAGGAAACACGCAGTTAATGCAGGATGTAGGAAGTAGTAAGACTAGCAACAACAACACTGCAAACTAGTCTGAAAGAAAATGCACGGCTGTAATGAGTCATTTATTCTGCAGTGTTATCTTCCTTTTCCCACAGGGATTTGTCAGTGGGATCACAGGGATCGTTACCAAACCTATTAAAGGTAAGATGAGTCTGACCACAAGTATAAACATGTTAGTCCAATAAAATAAGGGCATAAAAAAACTACGTGTTCTGTTAGTCAAGTATAAACATGTTAGTCCAATAAAATAAGGGCATAAAAAAAACTACGTGTTCTGTTAGTGTGTTTCCATTGAACACTTGACATTTGGCCGTGAAGATCTTTGAACTTAAGCTGCAGTGTTTGTGTTATTATGCAGGGGCCCAGAAAGAGGGGGCAGCGGGCTTTTTTAAAGGTGTTGGAAAAGGTTTGGTTGGTGCAGTAGCTCGACCAACAGGAAGTATTATTGACATGGCCAGCAGCACTTTCCAAGGGATCAAGAGGTACAGTTATTTCTGTCTGTGCTATGTGATTGTGCACTTGCCACATCAGTGTGTAATCAGATAGGTCCTGTTTGAATTTGTTTATGCCCTGAGTTGTCCTTTGTTTTCATTCATTTGTTTTAATCTTCTGCTGTACTTCTTGTACTTGACTCTCTATTAACAGCGTTACATTCATATTAAATTGTAACTAATGTAAAGATTTGACTTCATACCTCTCACATGCAGTACCTTCATTGCCCACCAGGGGGCTGCAGCCCACAGCTTAACACAGACTGTATAAAACTTGGATGTAGCAGCCCTGGTGTCAGCTGTTGCTTTGTGGAGCCCTGTTTTGAATCCTGGAGATGAGCATTTCCACTGCTGCTGTCTTTGTTTAAAAGTTAAATTTTTCTTTATTATTATTATTATTATTATTATTACTTCTGCACTGAACCTCGCCTTCCACTGCAGGAGAGAGTGAAGTTAGTCTTTCATGCCAAAGAGTTTGGAAAGATAATAAACTTCAAAACTCCAGAGATAGCCAAAGTAAGTTTGCAATTTGGACTCAAGCTGATATTTCCTTTCAGTCGGGATACACGACTAGTGAAAATAATTAGTTCTAACTTTGGGTCATTATTTATTTTCAGTGGGTTCTCACCAAATTGGAGGATGCAAGAGAGAGTTTACCCAAGTACTGACTCTGAAGATTGAGAAATGCTAAACACACGAGCTCTGTGTGTGCCAGTGCCTTTTTTTCTTTACTGCATGCTACCAAAAACATTTTTGCCTACCGTAGCTTTAGAGATTGAGTTTAACTTTCATTTCTGGATGTAAAGGAGGATTTGGGTGTAGAAATGTCAATCTTAACAGTGACTGGTAGGGGGGGAAAAAAATCCCTCGAGTATCACTGAGGCCAAATTAACTGTAATTGTTGTAGCACATTTAATGTTGCACACTGTTTCTTTTACTGGATTATATAAAAGGCATGCTAATATGAATTAGTATGGCTTTATAGTACACATAATTCAAAAAATGTGCATCCTTAAAGTTCTTCTTTTTCCTATTTTTATACATTGCAGAATAAAGACTGTTGAGTGTGTGAGTCAGAGATGCATGCTATTTTTATACTGTACTTACATGCATCAGTTTGCTGTATATGACCTAATATGATGTCTATCTGTATATATCCATCCCCGCATCAGACTTTATGAGGAGCTTGCAGTATGAAATTTTGTGATTTTTATGTTTTTATACCACACATATGCAATGCCAAACATGGTCTTGGGCGCATCACGGTTTAATATTACTAAATACTTTCTGCTGCCATTAACGTAGTTTTGTTTTCGGGGAACGAAATATTCACTGCGCTGGCTTTTTTTTTTTCAATAAAAATAAACGTTTTTTTGAATTCAAAGCGGTCTTCATTTATTCCTCGCACCAAGAAAACGTCAGGCACCTGACTTGTACTCTTTATTAAATAATTATATCTCTTTATTGAAAATAACCATAAATAGAAGAAACAGTTGTATTTTTTTTCCTAAAGCACATCTCAGACTATTTACATCTGACACTCTATGAACTCCGTGGCTCTGCTGACTGTCCTGAGTAAATAAGGCACTTAAGGCGTCTCAGTGTTAGAGCAACCGTTTCTAAACATTATGAAATCACAAAACCGGGCTAAAGAGCATCCTTATCAAACTATTACATGGGGATACATTTACATACATTAAAGCACTCAGATCATATGTCTATTTAAATAAGTAGTTCACACAACAGGTCAGTTACTTGCTACTAATTTTCACTTTCTCATTTCCACTGTAATGTATCATTTACAGCAAATACTAAAAAACTACAAGGGAAACTAAAGCATCTAAACACAATTTCATGTTAGTATGTCTGGTACAGGATGTTTGTATTCTCTCTTTTTTGGATCTCCCTTGTTAGAAATGAAACAATTTCAAATTGCTTCTTTTTTGGTTTAAGCTTGATTGATAATTAGATTCTTTTCTATTTCGGCTTTCCTCAGGTCTTCTCTTGTATGCATTTGCTCCTGTGCTGTATGCAACCTTTCTACACCAGGTTGAACTCCTTGAGGTTGTGCCTGAGGATGGTGTCTTTGACGGCCACGAAGACAAAGCGGATGTTTTCTGTGTCTGTGGCGCAGGTGAAGTGAGAATACAACGTCTTGTCCTTCTCCAGGTTTTGTTCTTGGTACATTTTTAGGATGAATTTTTGAGCTGCTACTTGATCCTGCTGAGGTCCTGCAATTCAGGGTTGATATTATTTAAATATGTCAGTAAATTCAACATACGCTCACCAGACACTTGATTGGGTAGACTTGTTCAACTGCTTGTTAATGCAAATATCTAATCTGCCAATTACATGACAGGAACTCAATGCATTTTACGACCTGCTGAAGTTCAAACTGAGCATCAGAATGGGGAAGAAAAGTGATTTAAGTGACTTTAAATGTTGGTACCAAACAGGCTGGTCTGAGTATTTCAAATTTACTGAGACACAACCATCTGTAGTGTTTACAGTGAATAGTCTGAAAGTGAAAGATGATCTGTGAGTAGCAGTCCTCACAGAGGTCAGAGGAGAATGGCCAGACGTGATGATATAGTAACTAATGGTAATTAACTACTCATTTCAACCAAGGTATGCAGAAGAGCATCTTCTGAAGCAGATGGTCTACAGCAGCAGAAGACCACACATGGTTTCACCTCTTGTCAGCCAAAAACACCGAACCAAAACTGAAATTCTAAGTCTTGATACTTAAAGATTAAAAATGTGTTTAAAAAAAAAAAACAATCAGTTATTTTATTTTGAACAAATTATGGGTTTTTAATGCAGAACAAATTTGGTGATTTTCTTGTGGGCTTGTATCAAGGAGGGAGGGGCGGAGCTTAGACTAATGATTGCCAATGTGGACCAAAATTCCTGCTGAATGTTTTCAGCTCCTTTTAAAATCTCAGCCATGAAGAATTAAACCAATTCTGATGGTAAAGGAGGTTCAACCTGGTACCAGCACAGTGTACCTAATATAGTGTCAGTTGAGTATTTTTAGTCTATTTCAACACTTCCATAAAAATGAGTACCGTGCAGCGATTGTATGATGAAGGACTTAATTAGATCAGCTAAGTAATTACAAATCTTGTGGTGGAATAAGAGCTGAAATCAAGATGAGCATTCACTCAGTCTAACCTGTGAATTCAGGGAAGTAGGTGGATAAGTGAGAGTACAAGATCTTCTCCTTGAGGATGTCGGTCTTGTTGAGGAAAAGTATGACAGATGAGCGCTGGAACCAGGGGTAGGTGATGATGGTCTTGAACAGGGCCTTGCTCTCCTCCATGCGGTTCTGAGATGTTTAAAGGGATCAAACACATGTAAAACTCCAGGAGGATGTAAACTGAAATCATCATTTGCTGTGTCGTTAAATTCTCACCTCATTGTCGCACTCAGCCAGGACCTGATCGTATTCGCTGAGTGCCACCAAGAAAATGATGGAGGTGACGTTCTCAAAGCAGTGGATCCACTTTCTCCGCTCTGATCTTTGACCACCCACATCAACCATCCTGTCATAAAAGCAGCCAAGAAAAGTCACGCCACCTTCGAGGTCGGTGCCATGCCTGTGGCCAGTTCCAGTGCTGCTGCTATTATTTTGGTTCATAGAGTATTTCAAAGTAGAATGGGAGGCAGAGCCTTCAGCTTTCAGGCCCCTCTTCTGTGGAACCAGCTCCCAGTTTGGATTTGGGATACAGACAGCCTCTCTACTTTTAAGATTAGATTTAAAACTTTGCGTTTTGATAAAGCATATAGTTAGGGCTGGATCAGGTGATCTGTTAGTTATGCTACAATAGGTCTAGGCTGCATTGGCTTCCCATGAAGCACTGAGTGTTTCTTCTTCACTTACCTTTTACACATGTAAGGTGTCTACCTTAAGATATAAAGCACCTTGAGGCGACTGCTGTTGTCATTTGATGCTATATAAATTCAACTGAACTGAATTGAACTGAAACTCAGAAGATGTCAATATGCACCTCACCTGAAAATGACATTCTCCATGTCAAAGGGGTATTCAATGATACCAGTGGTTGGGACTCGGACTCTGAGGATGTCCTGAAGGTCAGGTATGTATGAGGGCTGTGAAATCCGATCCAGATCTGTGAGATAGCTAAAAAGAAAAATATGCAGGGAGAAAAAAAAACACTAAGAAAGGAGAAATGTAGAAAACTTAAAATGTAAACCAAATGCATGTAGCTACATGAGAGTTCACTCACTGGTGGGACTCTCAAGGGAGATGAAGACTTTGCTCCAATGCAAGAGAACAAATACTTTTTGTTTTAGCTTCGATCAAATTTGCATTTCCCAAAATAGTAAAAACAGCAAGCCGAAAAAAAGCTCTTCTCTTTTTATTGCCATCGTTCGTGGCAGTGACAGAGACTATATTCAGCAAGATTTTTGTTCTTCTATCAGCAGGCACTCATCTATGTGGTCAGAAGGGACTCCTCCTTCTGCATGAATATTATACTCATTTAATAATCCTGTCAATATAATTTGATCTGCGCACACTGTTAAAGATCATAAATGCCTAATTCTCACTATTTGGTGGAGTCGGACAGCTGGTACTCCCTGCGCCGATCATAGCACTCCTGTATTCCAGGATCATCCCACAGACTCTTGACAGCCATGGCGAGGTTGCTATCTAAGTCCTCCACCTTATCCACCTCCACCTCCAGGACTGCGCTGGCATGGCTCTATGGACACACCGAGAAGACAAAAAGACAGTGAGGTAACAATGAGGTAACCATCCATCAAGTCTTTATTGTAAAGGACTGGAACAGAGTCAGTCTGCCTGTACCTGGTTCTGGGGATCAGTGAAAGATATACCAAGAGCCTCCATAGCTCGGACCATTGTCTGCATGGACGTGTAGATGTTCTGGTACACCAGCTTGGCATAGCTCCTTTTGTCCTCGTCTGTATATCCTCCTCCATGGATAATCCTCATTTGTTTGATAAAGGTGCTCTTTCCACTCTCTCCAGTGCCTGTGAGACACATTGAGGATTAAACTCAATAATAGATTTATTTGGTCTACAATTTTTTGCCTCGTTGCAAATTAACATTCTGCAAATCAAACCAAAGTAAACATCTGCTGGCTGCGTGAGCAGACGGGAATGCAGTTTTATGTCTAAGGTCTGTTTTTAAAAATCTGCATTCACGTGACAGCCTGTTTCTCAGCAGTGCTCATCGGTGCAGGATTTGACCATTTTAATTGTCATGTTTCTGAATTTTAAAGAAATCATGCTGATGAGTCAGTTACGACTGCTTTCATTGTCTTGATTTTGATGCCAGACAACAGGTTCTCATAGTACCTAGAAGTATTTAAGTATCAAAACCACCAGTAATAACATTAGTCTAACTACAGCTATAAAGAGGAAGAAAATAAATGTTAAGTATAAGAAAATTAGAGTACTTATTGTACAAGCAGATTATATCATTATAGTATAAATACTGAAATGTGTAAGCATCACTTATGTGCAGGTTGATATGGAGCTCATATGTGTGCTGCTGAGAGCTACATAGATAATGTTTTATTAAACGTATTGATATGCACACACTTACTAGATAAATTCAATTGCCCTATAGTATAATACTTTGAGTGGTGGAGGGATGTTTTATTTTGTCATGCCTCTATAATTATTTGCCTTTGTTCCCTGCCTGAGCAAATCAACCCCAGAAGCCCTGCAAACGGTCCAGAATGTGGCTGTGAGGCTGCTCAACAGGTCCTTAAAAGGTCCCATGTGACACCAGTGATGGGCAACAAGCAACAAGGTGATATATACCAGTGTTTAAATTGTGTTGATAGGCCACGTAAAACCAGAGTCATGATAAACAATATATACGCGGTGTTTTTCCCTGAATAGTTTCTCCAAGTTTACTGTCTAAACTTAACATAAGCACTCTCTGCTTATGAGCAAAAAAAGTTTAGGAAGAGGGGGAAGTTTTAGGAGTGACGGCGAGAAAGAGAGACAACAGAAAAAGAGAGAGAGCGAGTTTGTAGATGTGAGAGATTTGTGACGTTTAGCGTGTTTGGAGTGTGTAGTTAATGTGTTGTCCTGTGTAGTTAGTGTGTGGTGTTGTGGATAGTTTTGTGTTGTGTGTCAAAACAATGAGGCGACTGCCGTCTCAAGGTGTAAAAAAACAAAACAAAAAAAAAAAACAGGAGGAGTGATACACCTGCTGCTGTCAGACCTGCAGGTGTCAGGCAGTGATGTTCTCCTTTATAGTGGACAGAAATATTTGGAGTGGCACAAATAATTTGTGTGGCATCTTATTGAATGCAGAACAGCTGATTGTTATGTAAATAGTTTGAAATGATTATTGTAAAAAAGGGGTAAAAGGTAAATGGATGC